AACTATGGATTCATAAATTCTGTGCTCCCTCTCTTCATTTATCTCATATTCAGTCAGTTTAGTGTTATGTGCATTAGTGCATATTATCTCTCTCTCTCTCTCTTGTACTGATGCTATTGGAATGTAATCTGTCGACACTAACTATTGATTCAACGTAATTTAAAACAACACTGATGCTGTTAATAGCAATACTTCTTTGATTATTATGGTCATATAAACGCAAAACCTGATGCTCAATTATTCTGTATCTTTAAAACCACTCCTCTTGTACGTTCGGGAATAAAAGACAAACTGCCTAATTTCGCCACTTCCATGTGTATATACCAATTTAACTGCCAGTTAGTTGCATCGGCCGTACAATTAGGCGTGTTTGTCGTCAAATTTCCGAACATCACCATGCACAGTGGTTGGTTAAGCAAAGGTCAAACGAAATCTATTCGCAGCGCTATTCTGTCTCATCTTGTGGAGACAGAACACAAAATTGACGTTAATCATGCTTTCAGGGTCATTTACCGCATACCTACGAATCTCAATTTCGCCTTAAGAGTTCGACTACTAAATATTGCTGAGGCTGTCCTTGGGATCCATATTAATAAGCCTAATTTATGCACCCAAAAGAAGTTAGTTCAGTCATTATCATTACCTTGGCCATCCAGGTTTGAATAGTCTGGAATTTTTGTGAAAATTCCCTAATTTTAGTTGATATTCTATTCGCTATTAAATCTTTATTATAATTATTATAATTTAAGCATCTTTAATGAACTGTAATTCCACTGTGATCTTAGTTTACAAATCGATATTATTTAAAAAAACACTAATATTGTTATTAACTACTAATTTAAAATATTCTTTGTATATAAACATATGCATATAATTGTAGAGCCTGGAAGAGGAATTTATCGAAAAGAATATTCTTTGCTCGATTATTTTGTGTTTTATAGACGAAGAGGTTATCGGAAATATGAATATTCTTTGTTTATCAATCAGTCTTTTCAATATGAGACAACGCAGTAAGGGCGGAAACGTTAGAAGGTAACACTGAAGAAGACGAGAGGTGTGCTGATTGTTGGCAGTGATTCCTACAATGAAATTCATCAGGTAGAAATTCCAGTCTATGTTATGCGGTTTACATAAATTATGCAGAGATAGTAACATTTGTCAATTTGAATATTACACTTCATCAGGTCTCTACACCACTAAACACTTTTCTTTATAGAGTACATAAAACAGATAAAAACAAACCAATTTGACTTTCCCGACTTCAGATTCCAGAAGACAAATACTTGAGGCCGGTCTGTCGTTGCCTCGGTATGAAACTTTACTACAACCAGCTAAAAACACACCACTGCAGGGTAAACCAAGATGTACAATTTTTGCAGTCGACCTTTTCTAACGTCGTGGAGCGGGTAGGAAGAATAACTGGTGGAGTACCATTTCGACTTATGACTCCAAAAAATAGGGTAAACTCTATGAATGTAACAGAATATTTGTTGGGAAAATACCTCCCTCCCGAAACGATATAATTACAATATTATTGATACTTATTTCGATGTTCCAACCAACTTTGGAATTATTATCCGACTTTCTCCCAAACCATATATCAGTATTCTGACATTCGCATATTGTCTGCTGACTTTATCCTTTGTTCTTGTTTAATCTTCTAATCGCAATGCTTCTCTTTGTGGATGTGTGATATTGATTATGTGTTGTATCACGACTACGACTCTGATATCCGACTATCGACCAAAGGGCGGGTGCACTGCTCATCAGTCCGCTCCGTCCTCCTTTATGGCTGCCAGTGAGACATGGCCATTGAGAGTGGAAGACATGAAAAGATTAGCTGTCGTCGATCATAGGTGTCTGCGTTCTATCTCCCGTGTGAAGTGGTATAATAAGGTGAGCAATATTGAGGTTAGGCTTCGAATGCTAGGTAAGGAGGGGAAATCAATCGACGAGGCTGTGAAATTACATCGTTTGAGATGGTTAGGACATGAGTTACGTATACATCCCTAGCCATCGCCTTCCTCGACAATGGGCAATGTTAGCTGATATAGGGTCAGGCTGGGAAAGAGCTAGCTAACAGTGGTCAAACCAAAACATGGCACCATCAGTCAGTGAAATCTACAACAGTTAGTTTAAGTCACGTAGGAAGGTGTACACTTCCTGGTTGGGGTCCTCGGGACGTTAAAAACCAATGATTGGAAACAATTGATGATATGGCTCAAAGCGATCGTTCTCAATGGCTGGCGCAGGTGCATCCACTCCTTGTGACTCATGATTTCCAACGAAACTGTATTGTTCTTCGTTATTACTATTCCTTTGTCTCACACCTCTGTTTACTGTCTCTAAAATGCATTTCTCCTACTTTCTTCTCTTGCTTTGTGCGCTACATGGAGTGTGGCGACTTGAACTGCCGCACATATGTGCGAAGTTCTATGTCGAAAAGCGACCGACCGACGACTATGTTTGAGTCAAGGTTATTGTGACCTTGGACTGTCTGAGGAAATTATTGGTGTGCGATTCTTGTGGACAGAGGTTTTGATCCCACCTTGTTGGGAATATTCTACCTTGATTCTCATGGAGGACTTCTCACAGTTTAATTTTGGTTAACTGATTTTGTTCCGAAGTACTTGTTTTCTACTTAGAAAATTACCTAGCCTGTATAATTAATTGCCCAAGGGCGGCACCATTGAGGTAATTTTTGATGTTATTACACACATAGATTCCAACTATGAACAATCATCTTTTTGCTACCATTTGGAGCGTTGTGTGACTGTGACTATGTGTGTGTGTGTGTCTCAAGGAAGGTTTGGTCAGCTAAACAGTAAGTAGGACGCAGAGATTGGTTGCCTGCATTAGGAGACCACAACACGTCAGTTTTTATCGTTATTACAATGATAGTAACTACTTTTAGTATAATTGCTAATCAAAAACAACCTTACAGGAATAGTAGCAACTACAGACAGGAATATTCTTCCAGCGAGTAGAACTTCTTGAGTCATAGCCATATACCCAGCGTTGGCTTTCCAATCGTATCACCGAACACTCACCAACATGGTTTTACAAAGGAGAAAACCGATGCCCCCGTAGCTCCATCTTAGAACATCTGATAGAATCCGGACACCAAGCTACACCGCAAATAAACTTCAAAGTCGTCTACAGAGTAAGAAGTAGTCTTCCTGAAGGTGTACGAATCAAACTTCTTCAAACTGCAGAAGCAATGGCGATTCACTTGCTAAGTCCTGAACTCTGCATACAGAAGAAGTTCGTTCAATCACTACACTTGCGATGGACGTAATCTGTCTTAATACCCGATAAGTAAATTCTACTTAATCTTTATTTTCTGTCTCTTCATTAGTATTATTTTGTCTTCTCAATCGTAATATTTTACATTTTCAACCTTCTTGTTCTCTACCCCCACCCGATTCAATTTCTACACCTCACTACCACTGTTACTAACTTGACCAACGCACAATTTTTAGTCATTTATGTTACGCCATCCAACTTATTTGCTCAATTTCAGTTCTAATTTAAATGTCATCATTCTCTACCCCACTTCTACTTAATCTCTACCTGTAATTACCTCTGTTGCTATCTTGACCTAAGTTGAAACATCTTAGTCAATTATATTACGTCATCTAACTTACTAATGCAATCTTACCTTAGTTATTGTCTAATTAACCATGTTTCAGTATTAGATCATTCTTGTATTACCTGATTAATTATCTAAACTTGACAAACTTCATGTACACACACGCACAAATAATTGTATATAAATGCGATTGTACAGCTTTGTGAATGAATTCACCGAAAAGAGGCTCTTCGCTGAACATCTTCTCTTTATCAATGGGAATTTTTATATATACAAAGAAGTCCAACTGACCACTCTATATTGCCAAGGTCAAGATAGTAGCAGCTATCAGTCGAGTTGCAGTTTGAAAACTATTCCAACTGCTAAGAGATCATTTTGATGGATAATGACTAACAGTAGAATCCAGCCAGGATGAGGACTTCGTCTTATTTGGGACTCATCAGCTAGCAAGTCAGTGATGGTATTCACCATCCCACTGCGCAAACATACACACTGAGACTCGAACTCGACTGTGATCATTTCAAAGGCAAAAGCGTGTTATCCATTATAGACCACTTGGGTTACAACAAAGAACCACATCTATTGTGCAACGGACGTAAGTTATTATTTAATTCAATTTGGACTTCCCTGTTGACTGATTGGACAGAAGTGCTTGCCCTCTGTTGACAGGTTAGCTCCTCATGAGGATACTTCGATGATGCCTGAGGATTTAACCTGAAGTAATTTGATGGAAGGTGATCAGCAGTAGAACTCAGAACGCGCATTTCGTCCTATTTGGACTCGTCAGCTTGTGGATGTAGCTGCATTCCCCAGTGGGTCAGCGACAGTGTTCCCATTAAGGCTCGAACCCAGTACCCATAGTTTCAAGCTTCAAAACGCGCGTTATCCGTTACAGACCACTAGGGCACCAGAAGAGCCACATCTGTCGTGAAACGGACATCAGTTACTATTTCACTTTTCACACAAAAATTTTGATTTTCCCCCTGATATATTCACTTTCTTTAGTAAAAAATTCAGTCAAAGCAGAGCAACAGTAAAAAACACAAAAGCATCTTGTAACCAGTGGGGTACAACAGGTCGGGTATGAGGACAAATACTCGCAGCATATCATGAATTGGCAGAATTTGAAATTCATCAACCAGACGCCATTGGATCGGGTTCCAGTGGCTAATGAATGGTCTACGAGCTCGCTAGCCTTCTAAACAGAAGGTCCTGGGTTCGAACCCCAACGGAGTGGATGAGTACTACTGAAGAGTCCCAAACTAGGCTGATGAAACAGCTGGCTGTCCAGTACTCCCCGCAGGTTATCCAATGATCCTTTAACCAATAAAATCCTGAAAAACACAAGCAACTGATAAAGTCAAAAGAAGAAATTTTATTTATTTATTTCACATAATAATTTGAAAGAAACTAATTCGACAGAGTGAACATATCGTATAAATGTTACAAAAAAACAAACAAAGACACAACTGATTCACATACAAACTCACACATACACACACACACAAATATGTAGCCATACATGCATACATACATACACATACATCAATACATTGTTACATTTCAAAAAACACAAAAAAGATTTAGTCTACAAAAATAGAGAGGGAGAGAGAGAGAGAGAGGAATAAGACAATGGCGACAAGAGCGACAACAACAACAACAACCGCAGCAACGGAGAAATAAGAATCTGTCTTGTCTGAAGAAGAAGAAACAACACAGACTGGAAATATTTTATACATTTACATACATACACACCCACCAGCCCGTAGATGATACATAGAGAATACAGATTTGGGCAACTAGGGGAAAAAAGGAGGGGGTAGAGGGAGGGGAGAAAACACACTGTGTAATAATCATACATGAGAGGAGGACAATAATAGTAGTAGTAGGAGTAGTAGTAGAAGTGTGTAGACGACAAAGAGGAAGTGTCAGCAGTGTTATGAAATAGCGGAGGTGGGAGAAGGGACGGATGGAGTGAGTGAGTAGGGTGTTGGATCAAAAACAATAATCAACAAACAACAGACTCTGTGTGTGTACCTGTGGATAGTTAATTAATTAATTAATTAATTAATTAGATTACTTAATTAATTAATTAGTTATTACTAAATACATGTATATATATTGCAAGGCATTGAATAACAAATCAAAATCTGAGCTAAATAGGGTTAAGCATCTGTATACATATATAATAATATGAGGTAATCAAAAGGAATATATATATATATATATATTGTTTTAAAACAAGCTTATATAAATATATATATGTACTCAAGAAGGCAATAAGATTGACCAATCGTTGATTACACACATATATAAGTATATATATATATATATATATATATATATATATGCTGAAATATCATCAGGATTAAACACAGGGGAAGGTTGTTGTTTTTATTTCTCAACCGAAATAAAGGCCTCCTCCATACTCCGTTCACATTTCTATCTCTGTATGTATGTCAAAGTTGAGTTGAATAATCTAAATATTTGATGACTTCTGTAGGTGGAGAGGAGAGGAGAAAAAAGAGACAAAAAACATGCAGGTATTAGCATATGAAAGAGAAAAAACCGCGGAAAAAAAGTCGATAATCACAGCTGATTAGTACAAATTGCCAACTATGAGGAGGGGGAATGCACTAGTGACCTTGAACGCATATCGATCGTTAGATTACCGACCCCCTTGTGGTTATTACAACGCCAGGATGAATACTGTGCATGAATTGATGTGTAAATTTCATCCTTATCTTGTATGTTAGAATTAAGATTGGTGTTAGGGTTGTGGTTAGGGGTCACAGTTAGGATAGGGGTCAAGGTAAGTGTTAGGACGATGGTGTTTTTTTATCATTATTTGTACTTTCCTTGTAAATAAATAAATAAATTTGGGAGGAGAGTGTTTCGTTGTTCATATAGATAAAACCGTTTCGTATCAAACTTGAAAACCGATAGCCTTCATTGTAAGTGAAAAGTATTTTTCACTTACGTCAGAGTAAAATATCATCTTTCATGTGTTTCATTAGCATTATTATTATTATTTTTTCCTGGTAATAGCAGTAGTACAACTACTGAGTGCTACTTATGATCAGATATAAGTAGTATATCAGTAAACGAATTCAGAAAAGAGTAACAATATGTTTTGAGGCAATGGAAAAAGCAGTCGAAGAAGAGAACTGTGAGAAGACTTTTGATAATCCATTCAAGAAGGTATTGAATGTCGTAACATTCGACCAATTTGCAAATGATGCGTAAATAAAGGCTTAAAGATGAAGTATACCAAATTTTTAAGCACCTACAATGGCGTTTGTCCTAACAAACATTGTCTTCGAGACTCATCCGTCTTTTCTTCTTAACACTACTACTGTAAGAGCATATGAAAAGAGACTTGGTAACGGATCTTTATTAAGGAAAAACACAACATATTTATGCATATTTAACCCAAATGAAAACAGGCTAGGTCAGCGAACAATCAGTCCTTCTGATTGGCTGGTTCAAAATTATATAATGAGATTATTTCATGTCCCAAGCATAAACTAGATTCAGATTTCAGTATTAAATACTTCTACCTCTGTAGCCAACCACTGTTTGAAAATATTGATTTAAACTTTAGCCGCTTTCCTATCAATCTGTATTAATGTACTACTAGCAAATCTTGTTCGTAAAACACTCCCCAGACTACTGCTACTATCAGTGAAATTAGGAGAAAAGAACACTAGTGGAATCGACCTCTTAAAATACAAATACTATTGTGAAGCTGTGGCTCATAAGTCTACACAGCATTCGACTACCATAACTAACCAATGGAGTTAGTCAAAGACTCGAACCCGGCTTCACTAAACGAAGTTTGAGTAGTCAGTCAGTCAGGTGATATTATTATTAGACCCTAGAACATAACAGGTATGGCTCATTGTCAAATGGTTGCTGAGCTAAAAAGTACTCATCACAACATGAACTAATAAAAACAAAATATCAGACTAGATATACATTGTCCAAAGAAGCATGGTATTGTAGAATGTACTTTTAGCTTTGATGTTTAATAACACAAAAAACGCATATGTGTATACGTTCATAGTGTTTCTCATCACTGTGAGATACAAAGAGAGTGTGCATGAGAAATAGAGCGAATGTTTGGTCATAAGTCTAATATTAAATTTACGATAATTTGAGTGAGTAATTTTGATAAACAATTATCAAGTAAGATAATGGTGACCACACACACACACATGATCCGGATTTCTATCCCCCATCCGATGGACTCCTACAACTCGCTTAGTTAACAGTAAGCCTATTGAAAAAAAAGAAAGTTGAGCGTGAGCTTAACAACACTACTGCTACTGGAACTTCACAGGTCACAAGCTTGAAGCCCACTCAGAAAGAAAAGAAATAAATGAAAAGTTAGTGGTGGTATGACTTTAAAAAGAGGAGTAGTAGTGAATGAATTCATTTGGCTACTTTTTTATTATTGTTTCAACCGTATATTTATTTATTTACCATGAGAATCAACTTAGTAAATATTCTATTAAAAAAAACCGGCATTTGTAAACCAATCTACAGCTGAAAAGTGATCGAAAAGAGGACAGGTTTCTTGGAGCTCCATTTAGGTCATTTAAGACGATAATGAGGACAGATATTCAACAATGGCATAGGCTGGTGATCGAATTTCGTCCGAGTGACTGACTCATCAACGGGCTCAGATAGAGTAACCTGAAGGTTGTCGATTCTACCCTCAATGAGGTCGGTTATGAGTGAGTACTGCTCACGAGAGTCAAAAAGAGCTCCACTGATCTTCCAACTAATTATTCTTTCATCATGAAGAGAAATCAGTTGACAGAATACCTGATGACGCTAAACAGAGATTTCATTGCAGTTTGAAAGTTTTCATCAGCTCACCCCAGCAAAAATATGACTCTAAAACACCCTTAAAATCGATCAAAATCTAAGCACACGCACACGCACACTAGCTAGCTTAGAACTCAGAAATTACTATTATTATTATTATTATTATTAATAAAACTAGAAGATATATACATATTGGTGTTTCTAAAACCCATTTTAATCACAGGTTTGAACTTCCTGACTATTTTTTTTTATTCTATCTATAAGAAACCAAAAATCAGTCAAGTGATTTATCATGCTCACATAATTTAGTTGTTTTTTTTTTAAAAAAAAAAGCACACAGTATAGAACATAAATTAAGATATGCATTATAAATTTTTAAAAAGTATACTTTTATTACTATTATTATTATCATTAAAAGTAGTATTAATATTATATAACAAACACGATAATAAAAACATAGATTTTTTTTAGTATTGCAGTGAAATTTATTGATTTTTGAGTAGCATTCTTTTCTCCCCCGTATGTACACATAGTGGCTGGTCGGCTGGTTGGTTGTATGTGTTGTTGAAATCTAATACACCTGTGCTCTGGTCTACTAATCTGTCTTACTACTACTACTGTATATCACTCTGTGGTTGGTTGGTTGGTTGTTTGTTTGTTTGTTCATGGTTTATTGTTGTTAAGACCCTGTATGTATTCACCTGCATTTCATTATACAACAGTCGTCGTCTGAAAGTTTGTATAGTTAATAACCATACTGTTAACACCATTATTACTATTACTACTACTACTACAGAAACTAGCGATGAGAACAAAAACCAAATGAATCTTGAAGTATATGCTAATAAGCGTAGGTGTAAAGAATTAGAGAGCATAAACTATGAACTGAAGAACACTAGGCAGGAACACTACTGTCATGCATGTAGTCCTTCGTTTTTGTGCAGAGACAGAATTCTATCAGTCAAGTCAATTCTGATATTTTGTGTGTAAGTGTTGATCTTTGTTAGATGGTTGGAGACAATCGGCTAAAGGAGGTCGTGTCTAGATCCAGATTCCGTGCTTGTTACTAGCACTTACAAGTGTCAGCAAGGCATATTTGCAATTGCCTTGGAGTAGTTCATGTACCTCAGTAATATTTAGTAATCGAACTCTTAGGGTGAAGTTAAGATTTGTTGGTATGCGGTAAATAACCCCGAAACCATGGTTAACGTTTTGTGTTCTGTATCTATGTGTATCTACCAATTTAACTGCTCCTGTGGAGCCAGTTACATAGGCAGTACAATTAGGCGTGTTTCTCGTCCGATTTCCGAACATCACCCTGCTTAGTTAAGCAAAGGTCAAACAAAATCTATTCACAGCGCTATTCTATCTCATCTTGTGGAGTACAGAACACAAGATTAATGTTAACCATGCTTTCAGTAGGGTCATTTACTGCATACCAACGAATCTCAATTTTGCCTTAAGAGTTCGACGACTAAATATTGCTGAGGCCGGCTGTTGGGATCCATATTAACAAGCCTAATTTGCGCATCCAAAAGAGGTTAGTTCAGACATTATCCTTACCCGCTTGACCATCTAGGTTTGAATGATCCTGAATTTTTGTGGAATTTTCCTAAATTTAGTTGATATTCTATTGGCTATTATATTTTTATCCTTATTGCAATTTATGCATCTTTAATGAAATGTAATTCCACTGATCTTACTTAACAAATCGATATTATTTAAAAAAACACCAATATTGTTATTGACTACTAATCTAGAATATTCTATGTATATAAACATATATATATGTAATTGTAGAGCCAGAAAAGGAAATTATCGAAAGAGATATTCTTTGCTGAATTATTTTGTGTTTTAAAGGAGAATTTGTATGATGACTTCCCAGATAATCCTGAAAAGTTTATTTGTGTTCTGTTGACTTTGAAGTTAACTCGAATTAAAACAGAAACGCTTACTCTTGGATTGAACTTTCATAATTTCTGAATAAATTTGTCAAAAAAAATCGAATTGATATCCATTAGAGAACCACTGAAAACTAGGGAATATTGGACAACAATGGATGTGTACTGCCGATGACTCCCAAACCAATACGAAACAGCTATGCAGTACGCCCTGCTGTTTTTCAATGGTTCTTTAACTGATATCAGTCCGTGGATAATCGTCGTTACCAGTGGAACCGATGATGTTACAGTAACAGAAGCTGCACATTTCGGATCAATGGGATGAACAAAAATTGAATAGAAGAGAATAATAACATCCAAGTGTTGGTTTGCATAGATTTGATTGGTTTCAGCATTTCATCATGTACTGACATCGGCTGAAGGACTATTGGAAAACCACCAAGAAGTACTGGACAGCTGTTTCGTCCACCTAGTTTGGGACTCTTCATCAGTGCGCATCCACCTTCTGGTAACAAGGCGTGTTCGTAGACCATTAGGCCACTGGGACCAGACCCAATGACCAGCCCATGAATTCCAACTTCTGCCGACTCATGATTTGGCGCAAGCACTAGAGAATGTCATCCGTGGCGAGTATTTGTCCTAACACCCGACCTGTTGTACCCAACTAGTCACGACTTCTCGCTAGAACCCATTGGATCGGGGTCCCAGTGGCTTAATGGTCTACGAGCTCGCCTTGTAACCGGAAGGTACTGGGTTCGAATCCTGGCGGTGGGCACATACTGATGAAAAGTCCAAAATAGACTAACAAAACAGCTGTCCAGTACTCCCAGGTTTACCAATGATTCTATAACCAATGTCAGTTCATGATGAAATCCAGGATAATAATAATAACAACAGCTTATCCTCATTGAACAAACAGTGGCCCTCATGATCCAGATGGTTTAGTGGAAAACGCTTTGGCGTTTGAAATGATGGTGAGGGTGGGTTCGAATCTCAGTGGAAACACTCACTCACTCACTCGCCGGAGATTGCGGGTACATCCACCATCATCATCTGACGAGTAAGTTCCAAAACACGACGAAATGTTCATCATCAACACCATCAAATTATACAATTTAATTGATAGACAAACTAACTGACCGACTGACTAACTTACTTCATCTTTTTGAATAATAGGAATCTCTGGTGAATCCGGCGGTGGATAAGGAGGGATTGGTGATGGGTCATAGGAACGATTATTGTTGCGTAGAATGTTTCGATTCTAAAGTAGACAAAGCGTCAGGATATATGTGTAAATAAAATGTTTATGTATGTATGTACAATCACTGTTAGAGTTGAACTACTTTGAAGCCTAAAGACTAAAACAATAGAGAAGAATAATCACTCTAGAATAAGGTTGGATGTTATTCACGATACTGTAAGCTTTGATATATGATATCATTATTATTATTATTATTCTCTTGGACTCCGAGTGGAACATACAGCTTCAACAGCACATCTCCATGTTATCTTCTTCTCTGCAGTCCTCTTTAGCCGGCCCAAAGATTGTCCATAGGCTGTCGACTACTACCCACACGATGGTCTACAAGTTATACTCTCGACAAACAGCAAAACTCGTCGTTTCCCATTCGAGATCCAGTTGAGGGCTTCATGTGTAATGTCACCCGACGGTCTGTTCAGCCTGTATCCTATCCATTGACACTTTCTCTGGGAATATTTGCTGAGTTGCTGATTATTTCTGGCCACCTATCTCTCAATACGGAACCACCGAAGGCAGCAGCCTGCCAGAAATGCTCTTGTTGGTGCGCTAAGTTTTTGACCCATTAATAAACGAACTGACTGGCTTGATATTGGTGTTGTAGATCCAAATTTCACTGAATGCTGAAGATTTTCAAACTAATTTCAGAGTAATGAAATTCTGCCTAGTTTTCCTGATTCCGGTCTTGACATCCTCATCCGTGCTGTCACCTGTAACTGAGACGAAACTTCCTAGATTAGTGAAGGAAATGACGTCTTTCGAATTTTTCCCATTTATAGTGACTAGTGTTTGTTGTTGTGGTGGTATATGTATTATTCCTTCACGTTCCCAGTGGAACATAAGGCTTCAAGCTAGAGGCTTGAAGTTTCTGTAGCAGTGGTGATTATTTTTACAGGATGGGGTTGCTAGCCTCATGCCCAGCCTTTCCTCTTTACCAGTTTATATTACTTGCTTACCAAGGTAAGGGAGTGCGTCGGTCGGGGATCGAACCCCGGACCATGTGCATGGTCGTCGATCGTCCTGACCGCTGGGCCACCGACGCGTGGTGGTGGTGGTTGGCTATCTTCATCACCTCCATCTTCTCTAAGTTCACTTGAAATCCTGTCTTCGCTGCCATCCTCATCTGTGAACATGTTGGTTTCCACTTCAGTCGTTTGTGTGCCATTAGACAGAAATCGACTGCGAAGTCCACATCGTCTAGAGTCTCCTTATCGGTGCAACGTACCCCTGTCTTCTCACTCACCACAGTCTCACGCATAATCCAGTCCACCACAATCAGTAGTAGCATTGGTGATTTTAGGCAACATTGTCGTACTCCCGTATTCATTCTAAAGTTATCACTGAGTGGCATGATTAAATGACTGTTTGAATGGGACTGATAAAGACTTATGGCACTCCATAGTGTTGAATTAGTTTCTTGCGACGTCTTATTTACAACCACCAGCCTTGCTGACATCTACCGAACTAACTTCATTAAGAAGTGAGACGAATTCACTGGTTAAATTTATTACTTAGGCCACATATAAGTCAAGAAAACGAGGTGTCTCTTTGCAAGTCCACTTCAGACCTGCAAAGTGTTAATTGACAACAAAGCTCATAGGTTATTGTTAGCTAGTAACAAAAATAAATCAAAGTGTATGAGAAATGATCAATAATGGATAATCTTATGCAGTCCAGAGACAGTTGACAACTAATCAGACAAATGATGAATAGTCCCCTTTGGAAATAATTGATAGGAAGGAGAAGAAAACAAACAATTGGAAACCGGCTGAAAAAACACTGAAAAATAAAAAAAGATTACTTAGAGTTTGTTGCATAACAAACCAGGGGAATAAAACTGACACTAATTCGTCTATGGTAGTAAAAGTGACTGGATAAAATGTTTCTGAAGACACAGTTCAGAATTTTCTTTATGGAATGCTAGACATTCGACTGGATGAAAAATATGTAATCGAAACCCCTAGGTCAGGCGAGGCTTCCTGTGGCCGATTGCCCCCAACTATCTAATATCATCAAATCAATGTGCACCGTGATGGCAATCTACCTAGTGGCATGGTGGCCACATTGCAAAACCTGACTGACTGATAGAATTCAGTCTGCATCAAAGAAAGGACTAGCTGGACACGTCACACTAGTTACTAGTGTCCAATGAAAATACCCACTACAGTCCTACAGGAGGTCAATCGCGAGCCCGAATAGCTCCTCAGTGGTAACGTCTCTGACTGCAGCACTGGATGACGCGGGTTCAAATCTCAGAAGGGACATGAGTTCCTTCAAGGTTGCAGATACACCTTGCTGATGAGTGCCAACTAGCACGAAACCTAGGTCAAGCAAGGCTTCCTGTGGCCAATTGCCTCCAACTATCTAAAACCAAAACCCCTTTATATATGACTGTAAGTGAAGTCTCTGCTGATGTTGCAAGACCAGGAGTAGTAATATGCTCCAGAAAATTGCATTTTCTTTTCGACAACCATTATCGTAGGTGTTTATAAACGCGTTTAGACAATGTACTACTGGTACGGCCTTACTTACTTAACTTTATAGAAGCAAGTGAACAACAATGCCATCTTGTCTTCAATGTTCTGATGAACAAATAAGAGGATGTATACAGAAGGTGGGATGCAGAGATGCAACAAAGAACTTTCTTCGAATCGCTCTAGGGAGACGATTTCGGAGAACTTCACTAATCATATCTTCCTTGAATACCAGATTACCAATCCGACATTGAAAACAAGCAAAAAAGGTTAATAAAGCAGGATTTAATGAACTCATCAAATTTCCGCAGGACTCTTCAGCTGAATACGGATTGGATGAAAACAGCTGAATTCAAAGTACCAAAAACTCAATAGCAGAGGATCTTGTGGAGTACAGTGGACATGATATCGACACTGTCAAGTCATTCCCTGTTATTGTCAGCAAACAAAGAAACAGGAAGACGCTTGCAACTGCGAAGGCTTGAGCAATCCGAGTTTATAAACCAGGTCTCCGTGTACAAAAGGAAATGGTCATCACCCTGAATCTAACATGGTAATACGTTTACTTATTAACTGTCATTATTATTAATATTACTAACGTTTCATTCTATGCCTTGTTATTATTCCTGATTCATTTAAAAATATGTTTTATCAGTAGCATTATCTTAACTCGTTTCAGCATTATTTTTTTAATTTTTGATTACAGCTTGATGCCACACCGTATTTTCAGTACAAGTATGGAATTTTCAGCATGGATATCGGTAGCCCAAATTTTGCAGGCCGACCATAGGTATCGGGTGTGCGTCGGCAGGGGATCGAACCCCGGACCATCTGCATGGTCAGCGAGAGTCCTAACTACTGTGCCACCGACGCACATTATTATAACTATTACTATTATTATTATTCAGTTCGCACTTCTTGATATATTTAAGTCCTTTCACTAATTCCTAATTGTTTTTCTAAGTGATGTAATTGAAGTGTAGTGTATTTTATCTTAATTTTAATCTCTAATACTCCATTCCCCTTATCTACTAGAACACGACCTGGAAAAACATTCACGCGTGTCTTTCTGCATGATCAATTCAATGTGTAGTTTATTTACTTATCAGTCTAATGTCTCAGCATATTTCCGACAGTGTATATATCCCTGTATGCAGAGTATTCAACTGAAGAGTTCTATCGAAAGCTGATGAATTCATTAAATCCTCCTTTTATTAACCCCTTTATTTCGTGTTTTAAATTCGTATCGGGAAACAAAGTTTCCTGTTCGACATTTACTCGGCAGATTTCGAACAGCATCAGTTTTTCCCCGTAAACGTCTATCGATAAAGCAGGTTGATTATTCAATCTCTGATATGTAGTCAGATGATATCTGCCTTGTCTGCCAATCTGATATGATCGTTAGTCAGATATGACTCACAATCTATCTTGTGTATGACATTCCAGCCAATCAGAATCCAGTTGGAGGTAAGAAAAACTACCTATCACACTCGTGTGCGACAGTTAATTTTCTTTGTTGGAATAATACACGTATCCTTTGTCAACGGTGTGAGTCTTCTAAATTTACTATTCAGGTCAGGGAAATTCAACTACTAAGCAATACCAGTAGTTCACTCGTCGTCCGTTGTATCTCGTTAGTCATATTTATACTCGGTCACTCCATAACAAAATTAAATTGTTTCCAATTCCATAATCAATGTATCTTCAGTGCGCACGTGCAAGAGATTCTCGTCGCTAAAGTGATGATAAGGTTTCTTTTTCTGGTTACTGGGGGAAAAAACTGTGAAAGTTTCTCAGCTGTCCATTCCATTTTAGCTTGCCGTAGACTTGCATCTGATCATCATGTATAACCTGGACATTTAGGAAGAATAATTCACCTTCTGATTTCGATTCAATTTTCAATTCGACTGACTGATGAGTGCAGATGAAGATTTCCATAATCTTAACAAACTCAATGTATTTCGTCGACAGTGATAAAACCTTGAACCGAGTGATGGATTTCAGGGAGGCCATGAGACTATTGGTGAGTAGTGGATCAAGGGGAGAACCCATTGCTACTTCACCTTAATGTCAGTGCATTGACAGTTGAACAGAAACTGAACATTTAGTGTATTCCTCAGTATCAGCTTCTTCTTCCTATTATTTTTATTTTATTCCTTTACGTTCCGAGTTGAACATATGGCTTCAAGCTAGAGCTTTGAAGTGAGGTCGCTCGCCAGACACCCAACCTTCCCTCTTTCCCGGCCTTACTACTAGCTTAGCGAGTTCTAGGAGTTCGTCAGTCGGGAATCGAACCCCGGACCACCCGAGTGGTATAACTTAATAGATATACTAACATTCAGATTACTAAAGCCAATAAACTGACATAGGTAGAACACAGTTTCCGTGTAAGATCAGTGCTAGTGAGAAAGATTTCGCGTACACCTTCTTCATCTGACCGAAATTCCACTAATCCACATAGCAACTCCTGAACTGTGTGTTCAGAAATGTTTTATCCAGCCACTTCTACTACCATAGCCGACTTAGTGTTAATTTCATTTCCCTAATTGGTTACATAATAAAGTCTACGCAATTTTTTCATCTTTTAATTATTTTGCAACTGATTTTCAATTTTTTGTTCTCTTCTCTTTCCTATCAATTACTTTCAAATGAATAAGTGATTAGTTGTCATCTCTATCGATTGCGTAAGACTATTCACCACTTTTCATATATTGACAGTAACCTTTGACCTTTGTTACATAGTTTGAGGCAATCGGCCAAAGGAAGCCTTAGTACTAGGTTTCGTGCTCATTGGCATTCATTCGTCAACAAGGCATATATCTGCAATCTTGAAGGAATTAATGTCCCATCTGGGATTCTAATCCGCATCACCCAGGACTGGAATTAAAGAGGTTACCAGCGAGCTATTAGGGAACACAACTGACTTCCTTGTATGACTATAACGGGTACTTTGATTGGAAACTAGTGACTAGTATCATGTGTCTAGTCCTAGGTGTTGTGGTGAAGAGTGAGTTCTACCAGTCAAGTTTACCTCCAACCATCTAATAATAACAATTGAGGGAATGACAGTGAGACACACTGCAAAATTGACTGGTAGACTCAGATCTGCACCTACACCAAGGACTAGACACGCATGACATTAGTTACTTACTGTCTAGTGTACAATGAAAATATCTTTTGACCTTTGTTGTCTATACACACTGTACATATAGACTCTTAAATAACTCTACAACCTTGAAGAGCAGTTACAAAAAGTGATCTACAGAATACAAAACAATCTTGCTAAAAGTGTACGGATCAAACTTCTCCGCATCGCAGAAGCAATGGCAATTCATCTGCTAAATCCTGAACTCTGTATACAAAAGAAATTCGTTCATTCATTAAATCTACAATGGACGTAATCTTTCTTACTAATTGTATTATTTTGTCTTTTGCATTTTATTATTTCACATCTTCATTTGTATTATTCTCTACCCCACTCTTTTGTAATCTCTACCCTCATTAACAATGTTGCTAACTCGACCCACGTCCAATTTCTAGTCAACTATATTACGTCATCCGATTAACTTACTTAATTTTCAACTGTATTATTCTCTACGCCCACCCTTATTTAATTTGAGCCACCACTCATTAACACTGTTGCAAACCTGACCTATTCTGAATTCTACTCAATTGTATTACGTCATCCAATCCACTTAATCAATTTTATTTTATTTTCTATCTAATTAACGTTTGTTTCCAAGCCAAATAATACTTATATTACGTAATTATCTAAACTTTATAAATCTAATGTACACACACACAAACAAAATTATATATAAGTGCGATTGTACAGCTCAGTGAATGAATTCGCCGAAAAGAGTCTCTTCGCTGAACGCCTTCTTTTCTTTTAGATGAAGCAATAAGAAGACGTAATTTGTCTGAATCGTGTAATACATTTGCGCTACGCATTTAGAACAATCTGATCACACACGGACTTGTCATAGGAATATATATATGTGAAATTAATAAAGAGGTAAGAGGTGAGAAAATAGACAAGTTAGGTCAAGTTAAAAGGACATATTCAAGGTCAAAGTAACAATGAAGACCACTAAACCAAATAACAGAGGTAATAGTACATCTGCTTTGGTATCAAAACAAAATTTACCAAGGAAGGTTTAATGTGATGACAAACTGTTTTTGAACGCATAAAGGTGGCTTAAACTTTCTAATTGCTAGGGCTTCCACAAACTTTAGGATACGCCCCAAACACTTTTTATAGATAGGTTTAAAAGATCTGTTAACGTCAATTTTATGTCCTGTTTCTATAATATGTTTCGCAATAGAGGAGCTAGGTCTCCTGTTCTCACCATTAATGGGTTCTGAAGATTCCATCTGTTTCTGGAGCCATTTAGGAATATGCTCTGGAGGGAACTAATTGTTTTAAATTTCTTTTCTTTTATATAACTTAAGTGTTTCTAATTCTAAGGCTTCGTAGATTTTTTCTCTTGAAATGTAGTTGAAAGAAGAGGAAGAATCTTTAAAGTGATATAATCTCCGCTTGTGGCTTAAAATATCATTGGATAACACACACAAGGATTCCTTGTTGTCAGTTAACGTGGTTAGTATGGCTTTCAATCAGCTGATTGTTCTTCTTTCTAGGTAACCTGTAGATTAGTGGTCTACGGGGAACTTTCAGTTGACTTCACAGCTTCTTTTGAAAGTCATGGTCACTACATATTCTCTAGCTGCTTAACAAGTTTTCAAATTATATGAGACTTGAAGAATATTATTATTATTATTATTATTAATACGATCATATATGTGAATGATTTTTAGAGCAATGCAGACAATTTCACATACAAACACAGACACATACGCACACGCACATGCACACAACTTACACTTAAAACCTCACAAAGCTATCAATCAAATTATCGCATTCAGTGAAATAAAGATGTTCAATTACCTTGCATCAAGAATGACAGTAACAAAAAAAGAGAAATTCCACAGCTCATGAAGTAAAAGACAATTTTTGAGCATATATGTATACTAATTTGGCACATATGAACACATACACAGTGTTGTACAGCTATAAGTCAGCAAACTTTACGAGAATCAAGTTATTTACCCACAGGGGTTCAAATCCAGGACTTTCTGGTTACAAAGTGAACCCGTAGACAATTAAGCCCCTGGAACCCGATCCAATGACCATCCCATGAATTCTAACATCTGCCAATTCACGATATAGTGTGACCACTTCGCAATGTCTTCTTCGATGAGTTACTGCTTAACCTTCAAACTGCCGAACCCTGCTGGTCACGGCTTCTCACTAGAACCCCAGGTTAACTGCCTTAATAGAGCCGGTCACTAGTGAGCATCAGATCAATTTTCAAATATTGGTTTTGTAGGGATTTTTGTTTGATTGATTGGAGGATTTCATCATGAGCTGACATTAGTTAGAGAACCATTGTAAAACCTGCAGGGAGTACTGGACAGCTGTTTCGTCCCAGATCGGGACTCTTCGTCAGTACGCACCTACTGCAAGGGTTTGGACCCAAGACCTCCCAGGTTAGAATTCTTGTGCTGGACATTGAATCGATTCTGAGTGGCTTACTGGCCTACGAGCTCGCCCTGTAACAAGGAGGTCCTTGGTTCGAAACCCGGCAGGTGCGTGCTGCCAAAGAGCCCCAAACTAGGACGAAACAAGTTATTAACACACAAGAAAAAACACTACTTACATTTAACACATCAATCGGTAACGGAACAGGTGGATTGTGTTTACTGATAACTGAAGAGACATTTGACTGATTGTCTGTTGAATCTCTAAAACATCCATTGGATGAGTCCGGATCCTTAGCACCAACAGGCCATGACTCTTCACTAACTTTTCGCCAACCACGTAGAAGGCTGTATTGAAAGAAAAGAAGAAGGAATGAAGCAAACAGACAAAAAAAGATGAGTAGAAGAAATCACTATTTAGACTAAAGGTTAGTGGTAGAGACTTAAATTATTTCAGTTGAGATATCATTATCAAGAACTTATAATCAGATCGGAGATCATTAAGTGTCTGATATCTGGTTTTATCTAGTCTTGGACCCTTCAGCAGAGAAATGAGAATCCATAACCATAAATAAACATTAAACTGACGACCTTCAGATTATGAGATGACTACGTTGTTATTAAAAAAAATGGGTCAGCATTCAATGGGCAGTTTACGCCGTCTCTGGCGTAGACATGATATCCGGCTATCGACCAAAGGGCGTGTGTACTGCTCAACAGTCCGCTCCGTCCTCCTTTATGGCTGTGAGACCTGGCCATTGAGAGCAGAAGACATGAAAAGATTAGCTGTGCTCGATCATAGGTGTCTGCGTTCTATCTCCCGTGTGAAGTGGTCTAATAAGGTGAGCAATATTGAGGTTAGGCTTCAAGTGCTAGGTAAAGAGGGGAAATCAGTCGACGAGGCTATGAAATTACATCGACTGAGATGGTTAGGACATGTCTTACGTATGCCTAGTCATCGCCTTCCTCGACAGGCAATGTTAGCTGACATAGGGTCAGGCTGGAAAAGAGATAGCTAACGACGGTCAAACCAAAACATGGCACCAGCCAATTAATCTACAACAGCCACGTAGGAAGGTGTATACTTCCTGACTAGTTGGGGTCCTCGGGATGGTAAAAACCAATGACGCGGCTGGAGACAATTAGTGATATGGCTCAAAATCGTTCTCAGTGGTTGGTGCAGATGCATCCACTCCTTGTGACTTATGATTTCCAATGAAACTATATTGTTCTTCGTTATTACTATTCCTTTGTCTCACACCTCTGTTTACTGTCTCTAATATGCATTTCTCCTACTTTCTTCTCTTGCTTTGTGTGCTACAAGGAGGGAGTGTGGCGACTTGAACTGCCGCACATCGGTGCAACCTTCTATGTCGAAACAGACAGACAGACAGACAATGGGCAATAACTTTGAGTCTCCGCCAATCCGCGCTGCAAAAATCATCTCCCATCCGATGTCATCTCTCTATCTACACTACGGAGGATTCGATACAATTTCTACCTATAATTTCAGAAAATCTACCCAGTATTTAGTGATTGATAAGTGGGTCATAACTTTTCATCAAATAAATGTGGAACACCTGACTAGCACACTTTCCTTTTTTTTACCGATTCTCTAAGAGAAGTTATTTCATCACCAAAACCCACCCTTGGAATCAATGAAACCCTTAAAGATCGAGCCCGTAATACAATATTGATCATATAAAGACCAGCACAAAAGTATCTAATATCATAAAAGTAAAGTAAAAGCAACAGCTTAGTCTAATTGACAGAAAGTCTTCTCATGAAGAGAAAGTAGTTCTAGGAAAATTTTTTATTTATTTCAAAACAGATCACGGGTATAGCAAAAAAAAAATCTATAGACAGTTTTCATCATGAATCTATATAAAGTTTGATAACGGTTAGAAAACCATTGAAAATCGCAAGGTACTGGACAACTACTTCTTTCTAGTTTGGGACTCTTCATCAGCACGCCAACCACTGGTGTTCGAACCGACGACCTTCCAGTTACAAGTAAACCTCGTAAACCATTCATTCAGCCACTGGAACTGGATTCAATAAATGGCCAATGAATTCTAACTTGTACTAATTCGTGATATTAACGTGATCACCAGCCAATGTCATCGGCGAGTACTTGTCCTAACATCCGTGGGCAAGCATGCTTGCATGCATTATTCGGCTATCTCCTACGGGAGGATGAGCCGGCTTCATGAACATCTCGAATCATCGCTGCCCAGGCGCGGCGATCTGATGTGTAAGAGAGTTCATGAAGTTTCATAGGAATTTAGTGCGAGTGATGTCCCCAGAATCGTTCGGCCTTTTGTTTGAGAGTGCAGCTCTAGCCTTTACACAACCAAGTGTGACCTACAAGGCAGTAGGAGTGGAGTAGAGAGTCCACTATCCATTGGCAGCCGGTGACCGGAGTTCGGTTCATACGCCTTTTTGAATGGGGCCAGACATCCAGGACATCCAACAAGCCCTTTGTCCATATGTCTCTGCCGGTGAGCTCCAGTGAGCTTCATACACCAGTCGTTGGAGGTTTGGAATCAGGGTTTAGCCATCTCCCCTAGACTGTCATCCAATGGACAGTCAATCCGGTGAAGAGCGCCGGGCATCCGCTTTCGCCCTCTCACTTTGGTGAAAAACACCTCCGCCACGTGAAGGCAGTGAGTAGGACTTCCTCAGGAGAGGCTATGTGAGACGCCTGGTCATATGGGAGCATTTCAAGAGGTGTGCGGAGGGGTGACCAACCCTCGACCATCCTGAGGCTTTGGAGGCCCGTGGGCGAGTACTGCCAATAAGTCCCAAAGAATGACAAGACAGCTCTGCAGTAATCCTGGCTTCTCAATGCTTCGCTAAATGACGTAATCTCGTGATCAAATTTGAAACAACTCAAACCCCTTTACAAGTAAACTCTTAAAAATGTTAAAGTGTTGGCTTGCAGGGACTCAACTGATATCAGGTTTCATCATAAATTGACTTCAATAAAACAACCATACAAAACCGAATAGAACTGGACAGATGTTTCGTCCTAGTTTGGGACTCTTCATCAGGATGCAATCATGACCTCAACAAGGACAGAACAACTAAGACCTCGAGGTTATGAGACCAGCCCAGTGACTGTCCTGTCCCTCGGATAGAATTTGAAATTCATAGGTTATTGGATTCCATCCAGGTGGCTTAATGGTCAATGGACTGGCCTCATAACATGAAGGACGAAACATCCACCTAGTACTACCTGGTTTTCAATGGTTCTCTATCTGATGTCAATCCGTGTAAAAACTTGGAATAAATGAGGAAATCAATAAAAGTAGAAATATCACTGGACAACTGTCTGTTATCTTATCTAATGTAACTTGGGAATTTCGCGTTGTTTAATTTTAACTAGACCTAAATAATGCTGGATTTTAGATGACCAAGCAATGTATAATCAGTCATATCTATTGCGAATGAAATGTCACTCAAGATGACATGAAGTAGCTGGAATTGCGAAAAACACTTTAAGCCAATTACTGAGTCAATTGTTCAGTGGTAGAATACTCGCCAACCACGCCTCCTCACGTGATCTCTGAGGTTCGACTCCTGGCTGACATACAAGTAAACCTCGCGTAGCCGGTAGGAATCCCAGTAAAGAAGTAGACGTTAGGTGCGTAAGGCTAACAGCCTCGTCCTGTACAAAAAAACACCATCGGCACATAAAATTCGAAGCTTAAGCTTGAAGCCCTATCCCCAACTCGGAAAGCAAAGGAGGCTGCAAACAATCGGCAGGAAGCCTCCAATTTAGCAATCCTCTGCAATCTCGAAAGGATTGATGTCTCCACTGAGATTTTAACAGTGGTGCAATAGGAGGACGTTACCACTGAGATATTCAGACTTCCAAATGACCGCCTGTGGCACTCTGATGGATACATATATATATATATATATATATATATATTCAGTGGTCACTACTAGGATGTAATTAATGTCATGCATCTAGTCCTTGATGTTATCGCTGATTTATTGATTTTGTTATGTAGATATGATAATTTTACTTATGGACAATTTTCAACCATACACAACCAATCAGAACAAGTCCATTTCATCAGTGATCTGGTGCAAATTTGTGTGTGTGCGTCAAAGACAGAGAAATGGAAATATACAATATGTTTTATCTAATAAGGTCGTCCTTACAGTCAGTTTCCACCAGCCTTTATATCCTGGTCTCTTTTTTTGTGGTATTCAGTGAGGCGTCTATTTCAATTCATTATTCTTACGCCACTGGTGTTAATCCAGTTGATCAGATCACAAAGTCTATTGGGTTACGTTTGGTATTTTTGAAACGATAAGTGCTTACTCCAGTCAAAACGACTATTGATCAGTCAGTGAGAATAAAAATATGTATAAATGAATGAGTCCTGAACAGGACGAAACGCGCCTCTCCCCCACCCCCTTAGTCCTGGGATTCACTGATAACCACCACCTATGTCACATAACATCACGTTTGACTTGTTTTCTAAAATTGAGTCTACACCAATACCAAAGATGAGATACACGACACCAGTTACTAACCACCTAGTGTGCAATCACAGTATCCAATACAGTCCTACTGGAGGAAATCACCAGCCAAAATAGCTCAATGGTAACATCTCTGACTACAGGCAGCACTGGGTGACACAGGTTAGAATCTCAATATGGACATGAGTCCCTTCACGATAGGAGATTCATTCACCTTGCTGACTCGTGAGTGCCAGGCAAGAATTCTTACAGCCGATAGCATCTAACTATCCATCTAATAACAACAATTCAGAGAGTGATGGTGAGCCACCTAGTAGAATTCAGTCTGCGCCATAACAGGAAGGACTAGACGATGCATGACACTAGTCACTTACCATCTAGTATTCAAATCTAAACATCATGTTTCTCATTGTAATTTTAGGTCTACTACTTTACAAGTGGACTTTCTGAATGATAACATGACAAAAAAGAAAAGGAAAAAAACGTACCTACTGTTCATTCATAGTCGTATGCATATGCATAAGTAGAGATGGTATTTATTAGCAGTAGTACTAGCAATTCTCAGTCAGTCAGCCAGTCAGTCACAACTATAAACCCATATAAATATATATGGCGAAACTCAGATTTGATAAGCTTAAAATAGGCACTCACTGTCATGACAATTATTTAAAGTAGAAACTAGTTTATAGATGTTGAATCATTCAAAAGGATATAAAGAAAAAAACACCATATATGTATATATATATATATATACATATATATATATATATGTACATATATATATATATCGTCAGAATTATCAATAGTCATGTGCATATTTTAGAGCGAAAAATCATCACGAGTATTACAAG